TCCTATATTATTTTGTTTGCCCCCATCTCGTACCCGTTATGCAGCGCCTCCTTCCCCCTCTTCCTACCCAGTGGGGTGACAGCGATCCTCGAGCGTGCTCCGATCTTTGTTCTCTCCCTTTTCGGAAATGCCGATGCTGTTCTTGCCTCTGCGGCTGCTGCCGATATCTTGGTTTCAAGTCTGAAGAACCTCCGTGCTCGTCAGCTGCAGTCCCAGCCGCTGGGGGTAAAGTTCCTCGATGGTCGGCTCCGACTGCGCGCGAAGCCCAATGCCACTGTTAGGGCGCTAGCGCAATGAGGGTGCGTCCAGCGGAAGACATCGGTGCGCCTCATGGGCTGGGTTTCCTCCTCCTCTTCCTCCCCCTCCGTCTCTTCGTCTTCCTCGTCGTTTTCCTCATCCTTCGCCTCGTCCTCCTGCGCCTGTTCTGCCTCTTCATACTGCCGTTCCCCAGCCCAGTCTTGGCACAAGTGGGTTTCATCCCTGTCAGTTTCGACAGCGGTCGGTTCCGCTGGCGGTCGGCTTCGCAGGGGTCGGTTGCGCTGGCGGTTTGTTTTGCCAGGATCTGTGTTTCCGGCGGTCGGTTTCGCACGCAGTCGGCTTTGGCCCCGGTTTTCCTCGTCGCTGCCTCCTGCCTCGCACGTAGTCGCCATCGCCGTCGCCGTCGTGAGCCCGCCGGGTGAGTCGGGCGGGCGGAGCATGACGGGCGGGCTCGCCGAACGCAGTCTAACGGACGGGTCGGGAGGGCGGGACGTTCAAACGGTCGGGTGGGTTTGCCAGCAAGTGAGCGGTCAGATTTGGCCGAGCGGGCCGGGCGGACGGGCCCTAACTGGCTGGTCGGGCCAGCCCTGCTGGGCGGGTTGGGCGGGCGGATCCGAACAGACGGGCTGGGCGGGCGGGGTATCGAAGCAGGCAGGCGTGCACGCAAGCGAGCCGGCGGACCCTAACGGGCGGGTCGGGCGGGCAGACCCTCATGGGCGCGTCGGGCGTGCGAACCCAGCGGGCCCTCGCATGAGGGTCGGGCGGGCTAGCCAGGGAGCGGACGGAGCCTAAAGGGCGGGTCGGGCGGGCGACCCTGCCGAAACCGACAAAACCGACCGGGCGATAGCGACCAAGGGAACCCAACCAGGCGAAACCGACCGGGCGAGACCGACCGCAGTAAACCGACCGGGAGAGGCCGACCGCGGCGAGCCAATCCTGCGACGCCGACCGCGGCGAAGCCGATTGGGGCGAAGCCAACCAGGCGAAACCGACCGGGCCCCTCCAACCATTGGGCAAAACGACGGGTCCTTTCTTACTGATGATGATTATTTGTACGGGCATTATCAACATTATGATGATTATTCGTGTTATGATTCTCATTGATTTGAATGCTGTGATTATTCGTTGTCTTCCCGTCCTCCCCCCTTCTTCTTCCCTTCGCATCGTCAGTATTACTGCGCACGCCCCTGTCCGGTGCTGCGTTCCGTCCTCGCCCCCCTCAGCGTGTTCTATATACGAAAGAGCGTGTTCTACCGCTGCTGGCGGAAAACCGGGGGGGGTCACTACCGGTTCGAACCCCACCGCCCCCCCCCTCCGGAAAACCGGGGGGGGGTCACTACCGGTTCGAACCCCTCCCCCCCCCCCAGCTCATCATGAAAAGGGGGGGGGGTCACTACCGGTTCGAACCCCTCCCCCCCCCCCCCTCGAAAACCGAGTGGGGGTGCGGACAGAGGTGGGGACGGTGTTGGTGGGACAGTGGTGAGGGGACAGCGGGACAGTGGTGGGGACAGTGGGACAGTGGGACAGTAGAGGGCCGGTAGTGGTGGGGACAGTGGTGGGGACAATGGTGGGAACAGGGGGGACAGTGGACAGTGGTGGGGACGGTGGTGGTGGGGACAGTGGTGTGGGCACAGTGGGAATGAGGTGGAAACAGTGGGACAGTGGAGGGTACAATGGTGGTGGGGACAGTGGTGAAGGCGGTGGCGAGGACGGCGGTGGGACAATGGGACAGAGGTACAGTGGGGACAGTGGTGGGGACAGTGGGGACAGTGGTGGGAACAGTGGGACAGCTCAGTGGGACAGCGGCGGAGTCAGTGGGACAGTGGGGACAGTGGGGATAGTCGGGCAGTGGTTGGGGCCGTGGAGACAGTGGGGAGAGTGGAACCGTGGTGGGAACAGTGGTGGGGACAGTGGGGACAGTGCGACAGTGGTGGGGGCACTGGTGGGGACACAGTGGGGACAGTGGTGGTGAGGACAGTGGTGCTGGGAACAACAGTGGAGGATGTGATGCGGACGGTGGTAGGGACCGGGAGTCGTTTGCTGGCGGTGAGTGGGGGGGGAGGGGTTCGAACCGGTAGTGATCCCCCTCCGGTAGGGGGGGGGGGTCGAACCGGTAGTGAGATCCGGGTTGTAGTGACCCCCCCGGTTTTCGGTTTTTTTTGCAGGGGGGGGGGGGGGATTTTCGGAGGGGGGGGGGGGGCGACCCCCGGGCTCCGGAGGAAAAGGTTGGCAATTTTCCACAGTACAGCGGCGGTGGATCACGCTCTCTCCTATATACTTATCTCTCTCGGTCTTTCTCTTCCGTTATTTTCCCCTTGGTTGTTCTTATATGGTTACGTATTAATTAAGATTGGCTGTTACGCCCTTGCTCGTCCCTCTCTTCCTCTAGGTCCGATAGTTTTGATAATATTTCTTATGCTGTCAGCGTTCTGCCTCGCCTCGTCCTTGATAGCCTCCAAGATGTTCAGCCTGGTCGTTTGGAACGGCCAGCGCAATTTTGCGGCTCATCCTTGACGTGGGACTCGCTTTAGGGGGATTGATTACGTGGGGGCAGAATCCGATGTATTGTCATTACGATCTCCATTATCACCCTTTCAGCTCTCCCCCTAATGAAAAGCTCCTCCCTGTCTCCTCCTTGGACGATTCGGTAAGGCGGGCAGGATGCTTCGCCTGAGACTTCTTGACAAACTGTGATCACGAAGCCTGAGTCTTGTGATGGTTCTGAGGATGTAAAGGGGGGTTGCTGTCGAAATGGAGTTCTTGCCCTAGCGCCGCGCACGCGTGTGTCAGAAGCTTGCAACAGTTACCATAATCGAGGGGGCGGGTCGAAACGGGCCAACGTCTTAGCGCCACACACATCCGTCTTAAAGCTTGTAGCCGCTGCAGGGATGGCGGGCGGTTCCGTGTCCAGTTGCTGGTCTCGCTCTGTGCCTCGCACATTGATGTAATAATTTTGAGGCAGCCGCAGAGGTGTACGACGGTCCTTAAAACAAGTGCGATAACGCTGGAGACTTACGGAAGGAGTAAGGCGAGCAGTTTGAACATGAGTAGCAGCTTCACGGGTAGAGGGCGGTCCCGTTTCACCACAAGGTCTTCGCGTGAGACCTCCTCGAGTTGCATGGCCAGCAGTGGAGCGTCTAGTCATCCCTTACATCGGCGGGGATCGGTCCTCCTTTCAGACCAGGATCTCGCTGGACACCTCGCTGAACTGAATGGCCTCTTGCTCGCACTCTCTGCTGCTCGTTAGAAGAATGGCAGGCGATCCCTTCGCAATATGCGGCATCCGCCCGAACGGCAGGCCCGTGAGGTGTTGGCATGTTCAGGGGGCGGCTCTCGCAGGTGAAGAGGCAATTTGTAGGGAGCTATGTGGGAGGGGGCTTGGGGACAGGAGGGTGTATTGCAGCATCGTTGTTTGCATCTCTCTCCCTCTGTCCTCCTCCTCCGCCTCCTCCTCCCCATCGCCCTCTCTCCCCCTCCGCGCCCCTCCTGCCTCCTTCCCCCGTCCTCGCACGCGGCGCCATCGTGCGTCACCGTCGTCGCCAGCGTCGTCGTCGCCGTCGCCATCCGTCGTAGCCAGCGTCGTCGTCGTCGTCCGCCGTCGACCTCTGTCGACCTCTGTCGTCGTCACCGTCCGTCGTCGCCCGTCACGTCAACGCTGTCGCCGCAGCCGTCCGTCAGCGCCGTCACCAGCGTCGCCGACGCCGTCCATCGTCATTGTCGTCATCGTCGCTTTCCGTCCTCGACCTCTGTCGCCGTCGTTGCCGTCCGTTGCCGTCCGTCGACCGTCGCCGTCGTCCTTGCCAGCGTCGGCGTCAGCGCCGTCGTGCAGCAGCAAGGAAATCGGGTTCTGTGGGAAACAGATCCTGTACTGTCGGACCGAGGTATAAGATCGAAGTCGCCTCGGGGAGGTTGCCCGAATGTTTTTTGCGTTCGTTGGATGTTCTTGTGCATCCTGGGGATGGTATCCTGGGATGTTATGTGTGTTCTGGCCGGCGAAGGGCCTCATGTTCTTGAAGGATGTCCTTCTGTCCTAGGTCCTGCTGTACCGTTGGCCCGTATAGCTCGTGGCTCAGGCCAGCGCTGGCCTGCCGCAGTCGCGTCGCGCTCGTCGTCGTCGTCGTCGTCGCCGTCGTCGTCGTCGTCGTCGTCGTCGTCGTCGTCGTCGCCGCCGTCGCCGCCGCCGTCCGTCGCCGTCCGTCGCCGTCCATCGTCCGTCGCCGTCGTCGTCGCCAGCGCCGGCGTCAGTTGTAGGCGGCCGAGGGGTCTGAATTGGCTGGGGCCCCGGAAACTCGGACAGGAGGAAGAACGAGGCCAAATCCGCCCAAAAACCGGTCCCCAGACCCTTTCCGGGATTTGGCGCAGTTTCCCCCCGGATTCGTTTCTGACTGCACCATGGAGCCAGAAAACGGTCTCAGGAGGCAGAACAGGACAAAAAATGTTCCCAGACCCAGAACCTCGAACCTGCCCCCCCCCCCCTCCCGCTTGCCGGAACCAGTGCTGGGCGAGCTCAGACCCCCAGCCAGATCCAACTCTTCAGCGCCACCCTGCCCCCTTGGGCGGCGCGCACAAGAGGGTAGGGCGATGGGGGTCGGTCTCCTCAGACAGGGGCCTTCTTAGAAGTCCTCCGAGCTTCCAAGAAGCCTTGCTTCTTCGAAGCCTGCAGGGCCTCCCCGGTTCCGAGGCGTCAGCGCCGTCGTCGTCGTCGCCGTCCGTCGCCAGTCGTCGGCGGACCGCTCACCAAGGCGGCCGCGCACCCGCGGGCGGAGGCGCCGGCGCTGGCCAGGCAGCTGTCGTCCCGCGGGCGCGCTCTGCTGCCCGCTGGGGCGGAGGCCACTGTTGTCGGGGCCGGGCGGCAGGATTCAGGAGGGGAAAAGACACAGGCACAATTAATCGTCGATCCCCAGGAAAATATAGGAAAATATGGGAAGTGGGGGGAAGACAAAAACACAGAAAATGTAGGAAAATATAAGGAAACTGGTTATTTGTGTGTATTTATTTGTGTGTCCCAGGGCCCCTTCAAGGATGAGCAGAAGGATCGGGTTCTTGGTAGCTCGAAGTCGGTTCGGGTCGGGGCGGCCGACGTCGATATCTAGTCGAATCGATCGGATCGGAATGGGCCCTCCGAGCGTCGACCTACACTTCCGTCGTCGCAACTTCCGCAGCCGCCACTGCCGCTGCCACCGTCGGCCGAACCTCCGACGCCGTCATCGCCGATCAGTCTGGTGCATCATCTCGGTCATCCTGCAGGTGATCGTCATCCTTCCTCGTCTATCCTCGCTCCACCTCTTTGTGTTCTTGCCCTCCTCTGGGCGCAACCCAGGGGAGGGCCGCGAAGACCGCGCCCAATCTTTTTGACAGAGGTCCGCAGCTCGAAGCTCGAAGCAGGAGCAGCGAAGGGAGAAAGGAAGGGAGGAGGAGGAGGAGGAGGAGGGGAGAGGTGGAGGAGGGAGGAAGAGGTAGAAGGGGTGAGGAGGAGGAGGAGCAATGAGCAATGAGCAATGCGCGGGGAGTCCAAATGAGTTACTCAATCTCATACCATAAAACTGGCAGTGAACTCAGCGCAACCCGACTTCTTGGGGGAGCGGGTTAACCTTGAAAAGACAGGGGGAACCCCCTCTGGCAGGCGCCGCGCAGGCGCACGGAGGGGACCGTCTAGGGGACCGACGCACTGGGTCTACCGTGAGAATATTGCTTACCCTTTCCTCCTCTGCGTGGAGCCCGTTTAGCCGCCACCACTAAGGGGATCGGGGGAAGATCGGGATTAGAATACGTGTCGAAACTAGTGGCATCAAAGGGGTCAGGGATGGCCCCTCGGGCCACTAAAGCAGCTAATCGTTCACTACCTGCAAAGGCCCCTCTACTCAGGAAACGTCCCTCACGGGGGCCCTCGCACTCACGCTCACGCGAACGACTCCTGTCGTTCCTTTTTCTTTTTTTTGTCCTCAGCTCTCCTGGTCCTGATCCTTGTCCTTGCCGCCACCCTTCTCGAAGATCGCCAGGAGCCTTGCCGCCTCGCGCTCGAGAGGGCCCCTCGGGGCAGGTCCCACAAGCTGCGTCGCCTTGGCCTTGTCCGAGTTCAGAAATTGAATCAACAGCGAACGCGCCTCCCTCCCTGGATCGTCGTATGAGAAGGCGAAAGTGAGCCTGCCCTTCTTCTCCTCCGCCACAACCGCGGCCCCGTCCTGGTTCTTCTTCGGCTTGAACTTCATGTAACGGAAGTGCAGCACGTGCTTGGCGACATCCGTCGGCAGCTTCTGGGCCAGGTGCTTCTGGAAGTACTCGTAGAAGACCTTCGTCTCGCTCTCTTTGTAGGTCTCGCTGCCGTCCAGGAAGGTGTCCATCTGGTGCACCAAACTCATGGCGAGCGCCCCCCAGACCTGCACGTGTGGCGGTCCTCTTGCCCTGAAATCGACGTTTTCGCCGGCCTGCTGGCGCTCCTTAAGGTTTTTTGAGACCTCGTCGTACTTGAGCCCAGCGTCGATCATGATCTGCGTAAAAAGAGTCCGCGGTCTCGGTGATCTCCCACGTCTGGTAGACCGTCCCCGCGAGGTTGGCCAGCTCGCGCGCGTCGTTGAGGCACAGCTTTGTGATCACCTTCAACAGCGCAGCCTGTAGGTCGCCCTTCTCCTTCTTCTTGCTGCCCTTGGCGGCCTGCTTGGCTGGTGGCGCCGAGCCGTGGGCCCCATCTGCTCCACGTTTCACTGTCGCCGAAGGCCCTTGCATCCAGCTCGCCGCCACCACCTGGTACATTGCCTAGGGCGGCGCTCGGAGTGTCCGCGAGACGGCGGCGCTTCCGAGGGAGAACTGGGCCAGGGAGATGGCTGCGTAGATGTCGGCATAGGGAGTCCAAGTCAGAGGCCTCGAACTCGCATAGGGGGCACTGCAGGGTCGACGGAGGTGATAGAGGTCGTAGCGTCCTACCCCCACCGAAACGACAATGTCCCCGTAGTGCGGCTAGTACCAGATGCCGAGCTGCGCAAGCCCTGTCCCAGAAGACTTCCCGACAGCATATACATATGTTGTATGGTGTGAGGACGTGGCACAGTGATCGATAATCATGTTGGGAACGCATGTGTGCCATGAGCCCCTGTTTCGTAGTAAAACGTTCACCACGTTCAGCGATAAGACAGACAAACTTGGGAGCATCGGGGTCCGAGGGTTCCTCATGAAGAGCCTCAGGAGCCTTTTTCGTGTACTCTGGGGGCGCAAACCGCGAACCGAACGTACATGGTCGAATAGCCGTGACATCGATATTCTCGAACTCACACTGAACCTCAGGATCCCGCAGGAGGCCAGGGCGAGCGGCGAGACATCCTAGAAGATCACCGTGGTCTGGGAGGAACTCCTGAGCCCATCGGAGATCATCAACGACGCGTCTGGCCCACGGAGAGGCCGTTGAAGTGAGCACGCCGTCGGCCATGGGGCCATGGGGGCCATGCCTTTCTCGAAGGCCACGGAGCCGAAGAGAGCGGAGAGCAATTGGAGGTGGCAGGACGGGTGGCGAGACCAAACTTTGTACCAATTCAGGCGACGAATCCCGAGCTCGATGTGCGTCTCACAGATACGCCAATGCCTGAGGACTCCTTTTGTCGTCAACGTGCGGGTCGTTCCAGACTCTGTCTGCCAGCTGGCCCTTCCACGCATGGCCACGCGGGCGAAATGCGCCACCGTGGCATCTAAACTGGCACACTGATGCTTGGTGATCAAGAAGGCCTCCAGGCCACACAAGGCTGAATTCTGAACCAAAGACATAAACATCGATCGTGTGAACTTCCACGGCAGCCGCAAAGACCAGAAACCGCCCATCGAATAAAATGCGGCGCGAGCTGCCTGGTGACGGCGTGCAATGTCCTGGCTGGACGCCTGGGACATCGTGATGTGGGGCCCAAGATACCTGACTTCCTCCTTGATTTCCCCCGACAGGAGCGCCCGACCAGGCCCGCGGAGCCACTTCTTGCAAGCCAGGGCCCCCTCCCCCTCGATCCAGACGGCCAACTCCTGTTTCTCCCGGTTGTGTTTGTATCCGTAGTCCTGGAGGAGGGAGTCGAGACAGTCATCTGAATACTTGAGCTTGGCCAGGAAACCCCCCATAGAGTCTCCATGCGCAATGAGAGTGTAGCGGAAAAGATCGCCAGCATACTTGCACAAGCTAAGGTCGACCTCCTGGCCGTCCCATTTTGCACGGAGGAGCCTGAGGGACGGATCGACCTCGCGCAGAGCGTCCGTCCACTTCAGCACAGGGCGGCAGAAGGTAGTGGAGAAGGCGGCCACCATGAAGGGATCCCCCATGACTCCTCCCACTCCTGTCTTTACTGCTAGATCCCCTTCATCACTAGGAAGTAGAACGACAGCATCACGATACCTATTCTCACAAAGCGCAAGACTGGCTGTACGATAGCAGATATGGCATGGTCCATAGCCTCCCAGCTAGAGCTCCCGAACGCATTACTCATATCCTTCAGACTGGCTCCAAAGCTCCACCCAGCCCGTCGAAGTCTCCAGCCCACCACCTGCGAGGCCATGATGGCCCCTTCCCGACGACGCCGACGCTGGAACCCGTAATCTTCAGGAGGCAACTCGTTGGGCAACAATTCCGCGAAGAAGGATTTCCCCACAACAGGAAGCACGTGGACCACCCTTTTGCCTTTAGGCCCAGGCTGGGCCGACTTGTACAAGGCACACCCCCGACTTACATTCCAGTATAAGGGGGCCAGGTCGGTGATCCTGATTTTCATCATTCCGTCCAGGAGGGTTTCCAAAAACTGCGTGGGCTCCTCGGGGGCTCGTGGGGCTCCAAGGCCAGGGCGCTGACGTTCCATACCTCGTTCAGGGTGAAGGAGTTGCCACCAGAGCTCGAGTGGGGCCGATCCTTCAGGAACAACACGGCGTTTCGGGGCCCGACGAACGTATCTGCGAAGGCGTTGAATATCCTTGTACCCTAACTGCTGGGGGCGATCCTCATAGCGGGCCATGTCATAAATCTGATTCATGTCCAAACCATCACGAGTGGCACGCCAGGCGCCCAGGTCGATCGGGTGGACCTGCACCCCGCCGTCGCCGCCTGGGAGAGACCAGACGGCGAGCCACTCCTCATGCGTGATGGGAGCTCCGCCGAAACGCCGCCCATCCCGTCTTTTTGCCGAAAAGCGACAGCGGGCAGCACGGCGGGCCCAGCCCATGGCCCCGCAGAGGTTCCGCTGGGCCCAAGCGTCGTATGAGGCCTGGACGTAGGACTCCCTCACAACACGTACATGTCTTCTTCGAAGAAGTGTGAGGCGCTGGGAGAGGTCGCGGAGGTCGTACTCCAGCTGCTCCAGCTCGGTGTCGTCCACGGTCGCGCGCGAGGCGCGCATGTCGATCCTCTTCTGGAGCATGTCTCTCCTCAGCTTCGCCCAGTGCGCGTATTCGTCGGGGAGGTCCGCCGGCTTCGTGAAGTACTCGGAGCCAACCTCGACCATGCAGCGCTCCAGCAGCTCAAAGGTGTGATCGGGGGCGTCCTGGTCGTGGGCCGTGGTGCGCTCCTCGACGTGGTCGTCCAACCATTGGGCGACACCGTTCACGAAGTCCACGCGCTGGTCGCCATTCTTGGCCGCCGCCATGAGGGCTGCCATGTCCCACTTCGCCATGACTGGTTGGTCCTGGCAGTCGCGTGGTCCCCGTGGGTGAGAAACTTCAAGATATATTGGTACGTGGTCTCGTGGTGGTCGGCCTCTCTGGGCCTGAAGCTGGGCGCCCACTCGGTGCAACGTGTGGCACTTGACTACGTGGGACGCCCAGCCCTGTGGGAGGAAAACGAAATCGATGAGACTGCTCGGGCCCCCAGGCCCCTTGCCGAAGAAGGTCGCCTCGTACCTGTTCATCGCGTTGGCCGCCAATAGGTGCTGCTGCGTGAGTAGATCTCCCACCGCCTCGCCCGCGCCCAGTCGGCGCCGTTCTCGTGTACGCATTCTGCCAATAGCCTTCGTCTCATAGTCCGTCCAGTCGCCGTCGATCTTGCGGCAGCCTAGTCCGTCATTGACGTCAGCGTAGAACAGTGGGAGGCAGCGCGTCGGCAACTGCGATAAACAAGTGCGCCACCACTGAATCATCTTGGCAACCGTCTGAGTGTAACGCGGGCCTGCCCCGCGACATCGAGGCTGCGGAGGAAAGTAGAGCACGCCCACGCACACATCCACGACGCCTTGGCGGATCCTCGCCGCCAAGCAGCGTCCGCCCACGTCTTGTGGACTGGGGTATACACGACGAACATGATGCCAAGAAGGATGGACACGCCGGCGCTAGCGTTTGTGTACAAGCTTGGATGTGCTGCCGCCTCTAGGGCAATTCGCCCACCGACCCGCCGCTGGAGAACATGAGATGCTTCACGGCAGACGTTCTGGGTGCCAGCCAGGAGCGTGAAGTCCATATTTCGTGTGCAGCTGGCGATCTCCGCGAGGCGAACGCCAGTCGCCCACATTGGGTTCCAGCCCAGCACCCGTAGCTTGGTCATGTCGGTGGTCACCACCCCGTCCGAGAGCGACGACCGCACGGTCGAAGAGGCGCCATGGGCTGCATACTGAATTCGGAAACTCGGGCCCCGCTGATTCGAATCTCTCGAACCCAGGGGCTGGAGGAGGAGGAGGAGGAGGAGGCAGGGAGGGAGGGAGGGAGGGATGGAGGGTGGAGGAGGAGGAGGAAGAGGAGGGAGAGAGAGGGAGAGAGATGGAGGGAGAGAGAGAGAGAGAGAGAGAGAGGGAGAGAAAGAGAGGGACAGAGAGGGAAAAGAGAGATAGACAGGGGGACGATAAATTTGACACGCGTATTCAGAGAGAGAGAGAGAGAGAGAGCGACATGACAACAAAAAAACATGGGGTAATTGTAGACATAGTTATTGAATCGCTTCGCTCATTCCGCCGGCCCGTGATATGGCATCGCTGGTTTTTGTCTGTGTGTTCGTTGCCCATGTTGCGCACTTGGGGGCGGGTGTCGTTCGGACGCGTTGCGTGGGGAGTTTTGATGGTGAAGCAGTTCCCTGGGGGTCGTCTCTCGATGGGGCGAAATAGAGTCGTCGTCAAGATGCTTCTTTGGGGGGCCTCTTGGGGTCTGTTGAGAGGCCGTTCGGGGGCGCCTGGGAGACATGTTTGAAGCCTTCTGGGGCTTCTTTTGGGCCTCCTGGGAGTCTCCTGGGGCCTCTTGGCGACATCTTGGGGCCTCTTGGAGGCCTCTTGGGGCCTCTTTGGGACCTCCTGGGCGCCTTCTGGGACGGAGGGCTCCATTTTTGAGTTCTCGGTATCCCTCCTGAGTCCCTCTTGGGCCCGTCTTGGGGCCTCTTGGTCCGTCTTGGGCGGCACTTGGGCCGTCTTGAGGGCTCTCTTGGGTCGTTTCGGCGCCGTCTTGGGAGCTTCGTGGGCCGTCTTGGAGCGGTCTTGGGGGCCTCTTGGGCCGTCTTGGAGCGTCCGGAAGCCGAAAAAGCCAGAACACAAAAAACATCGAAAAACCAATGAAAATCAACGATTTTGGCCTCTTGGGGCTCTCTTCGGAGGCCTCTTGGAAGGCTCTTGGGGCGTCTTGGAGGCCTCTTGGGCTGTCTTGGGGGCCTTTTGGGCCGTCTTGGGGTCATCTTCGGCGTCTTCGAGCGCTCTTTGGGCGTCTCGGGGGCCTCTTGGGCAGTCTTGGGGGCCTCTTGGGGCACTCTGAGCGCGCTCTGGGGAGCCTGAGAGGCCGCACCCAGAAGGAAAACCATCTCTGAGTAGACTTGGTCGGGAAAAAACATGGGGTAATTGTAGACATAGTTATAGCACTATGAATATGCACAGGGGATGAGAGAGAGAGAGAGAGAAAGAGAGAGAGAAAGAGACATCGGGATGCAAAGAAGACATTCCACACGGAGATCTGCAACATGCGAATCGCTTTTCTTGTCACCCCCGTCTGTAGCTTGTGGCGACAGCGATTCCTGGTGGATCCCCCTAGGAGCGCTCAAATGCGATGACTGCGTCATCGGGGTCCTTGTGGGACTCCGAAAGCAGAGGGCTCGGCGGTGGCTAGACCAGCGTTTCGTCTGAGATCCCACGATCTGGGCGCGATCTGGCAAGTGTACGTCACCACCGTCTGTGAGCGTCTGAGTGAATGGATATGATTGTAGCCTGTGGCGACTGAGCGATCCCTGGCGGTTCCCCCTTGGAGGGCTCAAATGTGATGACTGCGTCATCGGGGTGCTCGTGGGACTCCGAAAGCAGATGGCTCGGCGGTGGCTAGACCAGCGTTTCGCCTGAGAGGCCCCACGATCTGGGCACAAACCGTCAAGTGCAACGCCCCCTTTCGGCTCCAGTTGGGGTGCACAAATGTTCTGCTTATGATATCGCGGTGATCATGAGGCCCTGAACGGAGGAATCAGGGATGCCAAACACAATCAATGTTTCAACGGGCAAGTTGGGGTGCTCTGAAGGGGACGGAGTCGGGGCCGCCAAACGAGCAACGTGCTCCAGACATTCCCACGGTCTTGGCACGAACTTGCAGATGTCCGTCCCCCCGGCGACTCCGCCAGAGGGTGCTCACACGGCATGCCTTCCACATCGAAATATATCAGTAGTCGGGGCCGCCAAACAAGCGAACCGCGTGAGACATTCTCACAACCTGATCCCAGGCGGGAAAGGATGTCTGGCAATACGGGGGGCCAGAAGTGCGGCAGGGCGTGCTCATGTGTGTGTAAGAACCGTACGCGGGAGTGTAGTTTTGGTAACAAGGCGAGCAGGAAAAGCACAGAGAACACGGCGGTGTGCACCGTAGCGTTCTCTACAAATGGTCGTGGCCGTCTGGGCAAAACACGTAGCCAGCATTGAGGCGAGACACGATGCCTGAATGAATTGTGAAGGGGTACCAGGGAAGTCGCCGCCAGACCGCTGCGGACCTGGCTGTCCAGGGTGCCCCGTCCCCATTGGTGGAATATGTTGCGGTTTTTCTCGTACGACTATTCAAATATTTTGAGGAAACGCTATTGTGGATCACGTCTGTGCCACCAAATAGGCGAACCGCTTGTAGACATCCCCCTAATCTGGTCGCAAACGAGCAAATGTCCTACCCCTGGGCAGCTCCTCGCTGGAGTACTCAAACGCCAAGCCTGCTACAGCGCGATGAGCACGGGGCTGTAAAAAGATATGGATCTGAGCCACCAAATAGGGGAACCGTTTGAGACGTCCCCACAATCTGGCGTAAACGGGCAAGAGTTTTGCTGTCTGCCGGCTCGGACCTGGAGTGCCCAAACGCTACGCCTGTTGTAGCATCCCCACAGTATGTGCGCGACCGAGCAAATATCATATCCCCTGGCAGTTCCTTCTTGGCGTGCTCCAGTGCCACGCCTGATGTATCGCGATGGCCATCGGGCCATCAAAAGACTTGAGCCTAGGGTACCCAAAAGGCAGACCGCTTGACACGTCCCCAGAATTGGGGCGCGAATTTGCGAGTCCCCTAATCATTGGCAGCTCTTCCCTGGATCACACAGATACCACGCCTGCTATACCACTATGACCATGGGGCTCTCCAAGGGGGGGACCCTGGCACAATCCAGGCGCGAACGGACAATGTTCCTTTCTCCTGGTGGCCCCCCCCCTGTGGGGTGTTCAAATGCCACACGCACTACATTGCGATGAGCACGGGCTTGTAAAAGCAAAGGGTTCTGGGTCTCCAAGCTGGCAACATGCTTGAGACATCCAAGCAATTTTGGCGTAAACGGGCGAATGTCCTACCAGTGGCGGTTCCTGCTTGGGGTCTTCAAGTGCCACGTTTGCCACGTCACGTGTTGGTTAGTCTCAGAGCCAGTGAGTCTGAGTGTGCCTGGACATGTGCGAGCGAAGTTTGAGAATGAGAGGCTCACAGTACTGGGTGTGGGTGTGTGGGGGTGGTTGTGTGTATGTGTGTGGTGTGTATGCGTGTGTGTATGTACGTGCATCTGTGTGTGAATGTGTGTGTGTGTGTGTGCGTGTGCGTATGTGTGTGTGTTTTGTGTGGTGTGTGTGTGTTGTGTGTTGTGTGTTGTGTGTTGTGTGTTGTGTGTGCGTGTTTGTTCCCACCCTCTTGCATTGTTGCACAATACGCTGCAACGGTCCCCCGTTTTGTTAGCTCTTCCGCCAGTGCAGTTGTTCTGCCTAGCCGCCGACGAAAAAAGTGTGTGTGTGTGTGTGTTTGTGTGTGTGTATGTGTGTGTGTGTGCGTGCGTGCGTGTGTGTGTGAATGTGTGTGTGTGCGTGTGTGTGTGTGCGTGTGCGTGTGCGTGTGCGCGTGCGTGTGCGTGTGCGTGTGCGTGTGCGTGTGTGTGTGTGTTTGTGTTTGTGCTTGTGTTTGTGTTTGTGTGTGTGTGTGCGAGCGGGTCTTAGCGTCAGAGAGTCTGAACATGGGGTAGCCTGGTCATCGGATGTTTGGGGGGGGTGAGATCGCAGTGGAACGGAGACCCCAAACCGGGAAATCGTTTCGTTTCGTTCGTGTCGTGCGTGCGGGCGAGGCGAAGCTGCGTGGGCGCGCGAGAGGAATGAACCCGCCGTTGCAAGGGCGAAGTCAAGACAAATGATTTTTCCCCTCCCGCCCGTCCGGCGATGGCTCGCGCTGTCCCGCGGTGTCCCGTGGTGTCCCATGGTGTCCGGCGTTGCTAGGGCGTTCTCCCCCGCCCGCCCGTCCGGCGGTGGCCCGCGGTGTCCCGCGGTGTCCCGTGGTGTCCCGTGGCGCCCGCCATTGCTAGGGCGAAATCAAGACACATTATTTCCCCCGCCCGCCCGTCTGGCGGCGGCCCGCGGTGTCCCGTGGTGTCCCGTGGTGTCTCGTTGAGTGAGATCGATAGTGAGATCAATAATGAGATCGATCGTGAGATCGATAGTGAGATCGATGTGGTGCCCCTTGGTGTCCCGTGGTGTCCCAAAAAGTGAGATCGATAGTGAGATCGATGTGAGATCGACAGGTGCCCCGTGGTGTCCCGTGGTGTCCCGTGGTGTCCCGTTGAGTGAGATCGATCGTGAGATCGATGGTGAGATCGATAGTGAGATCGATGCGGTGCCCCGAGGTGTCTCGTGGTGTCCCGCGATGTCCCAAAATGTGAGATCGATAGTGAGATCGATAGTGAGATCGACAGTTGTCCCGTGGTGTCCCGTGGTGTCCCGCGGTGTCCCGTTGAGTGAGATCGATAGTGAGATCGATAGTGAGATCAATGTGGTGTTTCGAGGTGTCTCAAGGGTATCATGGCTCAAGTGGCTCAAGGCGTAAGATTGTACATCCAGCTGTTACAATCTTACATCGATTTTCCTTGATCCACTTCCACTTCCTACCTCCGATCCGCTCCTACCTTCGGGCGCGCCATGGCTGCTGCGGCTCTCCCCGACGCCCAGGTTCTCTCTGGCATGGACCCGGCGCCGCGAAGGGCCTAGCGGCGTTTCAGACGAGCGGCACCGCGGACTCCGATGCTGCCAGGACGTTGGCCGAGTTGGAGGCCATCGAGGTCGACTCGGTGGACGGCGCGAGGACCAGTGCTACACCTCCGTGGTCCGACGTGCTCCGCGTTCGCGACCCTTCCCTACGCGACCCGAAGGCCTCTCGGGAGCTCGCGGCCTTGGCCGAGAAGGGCAACGAGGCACTCTGGGACACATTAGCCGGCCAGACTGTTGCACGATGGACTCCCAGCGACAATAACTCGCTGACCCGGTTGCTGTCCTCGTACCTCCGTCGCTCGTCGAATTCGTCGCTCCCCGTCTCGCTCGTCATGGTTTCCACGATGCCCATGATGAATGGCTTCAATAACGTCACGAACATCACAGATGTGTGTTTCTTCCCACTGCTGTCCTAAAGGTGGTTACCCATTGTCAAAGATGTGGCCTTCATCTCCTTCCCCTTCGAAGTGGTTCTCCCCGCGATGTCTGGATTCCCACGACTGGGACGGCAGGGCCTGGCCCTCTTCACCTTGCGAGTGGGCGGATCCAGGACGGTTCCCCACATGATCAACATGGCGCCGCTGTTACAGCGCCGTTTTGAATAAATGCTCTGCGTGCGGATCATGTATTAAGAATAAAGGGTTGATCAATAAATACAAGGATGAGTTTATGCATTAATTGATTCATCAATTGATCATGTATTAAAAAATATATTTCAAACATCCCATGGATTAAAAAATGCCCTGTACACTTCGACGAGGTCAAGGTTGTCACCTTCGCTCTCCTGGTGGACGAGCTGCCCCGGTTCATGCCTTCGTGTGCCTTCCCGCTCCCGATGGGCGCCGTGCCGCGCGCACACCGCAGGAGTCTCCTGAGCACCGTGAAAAAACGCCGCGCGTCACGCTCGACCTGGTCTTCCCCGGCTACCTTTAAGTCAGCCTGTCCCCCTACAGGGGGATTTCCGACGAAAAATTTAAAACATACCCCAAACATAGAAGAAAAATAATCCAAACATAGCTCGGGGGAACTTTGTTTTTAATATTGTTTGACCCGTTGGGGTATTTTTGGGGTATTTTTCTTTATTTTTCGTCGAAAATCCCCATGTAGGGGGACACGCCCGACATAAGGCTACCTCCCAGTCTTCGACCTCATCACTATCCTCCGCGAGATCCGCCGCACGGCCCTCGCAACCTCGACTTACTGTGGACTCGAAGGCCCGGCTGCTGTCGCCGACACCCCATCATCCTGTAGTGCAACGGGCAGGGTGTCTTCCAAGACTATCGGCATCTCTGCTCGCAGATGTCCGTGCTCAGCCCCACTCGGATGTTGGTGGTCTCTGACGCCTCGGTTGCGACGTGAACGTCGGCTATGGACGAGGCTTACCAGCGAGACCCGGGCAATGCGGCGACGCGCCTGAAGTACCGCCCATCACGGTTCGGCGGACGTGTCATAGCTTCCCCGGCCGCGGTGGCCCCCCGCTGGGCTGCTGCCAAGCGCCGCGCGGGCAAGCCGCATTATATCTCCGACTACGTCGCCGAGATAAAGGTCCAGGGGGAGCTCGGCATGCAAGACACCGAGGTCAGGTCTAAGGCAATGGCGCACGTGATTTCCTCGACTGGCCTTTCCCTCACCATGGCGCAGGAGGAGGACAACCCCCAGGCTTGCGAGTTTTACTCCGCAGCCGCCTGCCTGCCGACGGCGGAATCATTAAGGTGATCGCCAAGGAGAGAGGAAATCCGTAAGCTCTACGCGGCGCTGCACAGCCAGGCCGTGCAGGTGGGCCAGGACATGATCAACATCCAAGTCCTCGATGACCTCGCGGAGTTGGCGGTTGAGACGGGAAACGACCGGAGGGCGTGGGCCTAGGCGCCCCCCGTGCCCTGGACACAGCTGCGCGCCATGCCGGGGGGTCGAGTCCACGGGACGGCCTCGGAATTTATTGCATTGACTCGCTTGGCTTCTCTGGCTATGCCGTGATGGTCGTCTTCCGCGCCTACGAGGGTTGCATTGCGCCTCCCATGCCGTCGCGTCCGGGCCGCCAGCCGACTTCGCCTGCAAGCCGCCATGCTTCACATCATAGGTGTTCTTCCTCTCACCGTTTTGCACCCTACTTCGAGCAGTTACCTCTCCACTTCGCCGCGCACGCCAGTCGCCCATCCATCCCGCCGCTCTTCTTCGCTGCCGACGAGCTTCTGCCTGACGTGTACCCCGTTGCTCACACCCACGACGTCCCGCTGCACATCTATACACGTCTTCGTGTCTTCTGCGCTGTTGGCGCCATACCTGCCGACCAGATCCTTCCACCTCCGTTGACTCGCCCTCCTGTTCGCCCAGTTCCTGTGGCCTCCCAGAGAGGTCAATTCTCTGGGGACCTCACGGTGTCAACCTGGAACGCGCAGGCGCTGTTCGCCACGGACGTCTACCGCTTCATGGCCAAGACTTCATACGTCGCCAAGCTCATGTTGAAGACTGACATTTGTTTGACCACCGAGGCCCACGGCTCCGAGACGAGCAATTTCACATGGACGCCCCCCCTGATACCACCGCATGGTGGTCGGAGGGCCCCTCCCATGGTCAGGCGGGCGTCGGCGTGATCATTCGCGGTTCATTTCTTAAGCATTTCTCGGAGCCGCCCCGTTGGGTATACATCTGGAAAGGACGGGCCGCCAAGCTGTGTCTCCGCGGCCCCCTCGGACCGCTGGACGTCGTGGTGGTCTACGCTCACGCGGGCAATCACCACGTGCCAGACGAGCGCGACTTGGGCGGAGTGCCAGCTTCTCGACGCCCTGCGGTACGCTCTTACTTCGACCTCCGTTCTTTACTACGTTCCAGGATCAGCGCCTCCATGTCATCCAATGAAGACTGTCTCACGATCTTGGGAGGGGATTTCAACTGGGTCACCACCGATGCGGACAGGGTGGCCTTGGGCACCGTGGAGTCCACTGGACGCCGGGACGCGCGAGACGAGCAGCACTTCAAGACGCTCATCGGCGATAAAGTTCGGCCTGGTTGAGATGTACCAGGGCGAGCCAACGCACGTATTGGCCTCGGCGCGGTCTCGTCTCGACCGCATCTCAGACACATCCGGTGTACTGCCCTGGAGTGGCGCCATGACTTGTCGCACCACCGTGCCGTCTTCTTCGCCAGGCGCACCCCGCAGCATGGCGACGCCGATCGCCGGCCCCTTGCTGCGTCTGCCCTGGCTGACCCGTCGTTCCCACGCAGAGTGGCGCTTGAGTACCAGGAGGCCCGCAAGGACTATCCCGACGCCTCGGCGCTGGAGCGGCTACGATTGCACAAAGCCGCTATGCGCCTGGTCGCCACCAGGATTGAGTCGGAGCGTTCTGTTCCTGTGCCAGCAGCTTGCGCGGAGGACCGGTTAGGATGCACGATGAAGTCTGTTCGCGCTGCGGAGGCTGGCAGCCTGGGCGAGATTTCAGCCTGCCTCGCACGCCATCCCAGCCTTCGGGGGGGAGGTGGTGGACAACCCCCACGTCGTCGAGGGCAGCATGACGCGACACCTTCGAGGAGCTCGACCCCACGCTGTGCAATTGGCCTAGGAACATGCCATCGATGATCTGGGGCGCTCCTATGCCGACCCAACGGGCCAAGATGATTGTCGTGCCTCCCGTGCCCGTCAGCGCAACGCTAGCCTGATCTATCGTCGTGCCCCCGGACGCTGCAGCGGCATTTCGGCCGTCGAACAACCCGACGGGGAGGTAGTGACGCACCGGACGCGACGGCCAACACCTTGCGGAAGCATTGGTCCGAGATGTGCAAGGATAAGGGCGTGGACCAGGCTCTACTCCAGGTAGTTCATTGTCCCTCTCTCTCTCTCGTGGGTCTGGGGTTCTCTGGGTTTCTGGCGGGGCTTTGGGGTGTTGTCCGTGGGGTTTCCTGGGGGCGCTGTTTTGTCGGCTGTTTTCTGTCACTTCTCTTCCTCCCCTCCCGGTAGGTGCTGCCAGATTGCTTCAAAGTTTTAGGACACCTGGTGTCATTTCCCCCTCCCGCAAACGCGAGATTGGGGCCCGCCTCGGCGAGCGTGCAAGGGGCACTGCTGTGGTCGCTTCGAGGTCGGAGTTTAGTTCATATTTGTTCGCTCTGTGCCTCCATTTCCTCCCGTCCTCCTCCTCCGTTTCCTCCCCCCTCCCCTCTTCGGGGCGTTGTGTGGCCCAAAACCCTGCGGTATTTCAACCGCCCTTTTCGCCTCCAAGAGGTTGGTTGAAATACTTACCTTTTTGGTGTGATTTAACAAAATGTGGGGAAATTACCACACTTTGTTGTAGCGTGTTCCGCCTCTGACAGTAACGGTCTGGACTCCTGATGGCTTGGAAAAGGGATGTGCAAGCTACAGTTTATAGGTGCATGTTCTTTGCTTTTCTCTCTCTGCCTTCTGTCTGTCCTTCTCATCCTCCTCCCTTCCTCTCTTCTCGCCAGTGCTTGTTTACTTTTGGGATGCTGCTGTAAAATAAGCCACTGGTCTGTCTCTGCCAAGCATCGCCGCGACATCGATCGTGAGATCGATAGTGAGAGATCGAGAGGTGTCCTGCGGTGTCCCATGGTGGCCCGTGGTGGCCCGTGGTGTCCCGTGGTGTCCCGTTGAGTGAGATGGATAGTGAAATCGACAGGTGTCCCGTGGTGTCCCGTGGTGTCCCGTTGAGTGAGATCGATAGTGAGACCGATTGAATCAGATGTTGGCTCCCCTATGGTGTCCCGTTGAGTGATATCGATAGTGAGATAGATAGTGAGACCGATAGTGAGATCGAGAGGTGTCCCTCGGTGTCCCGTGGTGGCCCGTGCTGTCCCGTGGTGTCCCGTGGAATGAGATCGATAGTGAGATCGACAGGTGTCCCGTGGTGTCCCGTGGTTTCCCGTTGAATGAGATCGATAGTGAGATCGATTGAGTCAGATGTTGGTTCCCCCCACTCCCGCCCCCAACACAACGGCTTTATCACCCGAAGGGCGGTCGTATAGGTAAGTTTGGTGGGTGTGAGCGTATATGGGTGTGAGTTGTAGGTGTATTCGTGGATTTGAACGTCAGTAGGAGTGAGTCTGAGTGTCTGAGTGTGAGCCTGCGTGTATTTGAGTCTGAGTGCGAGCAAGTCTGCGCGTGAGTGAGTTTGAGAGTGGGCGAGGAGGAAGGAGGCAGGAAGGAGAGAGTAGGCGGGAGTGGAGGTAGAGGGAGACATCACACGAAGAACAAGAAACCCATACTCCGGGTAGGGGGGCAATACACAACACTATATGACATTGAGATACCTATACGGCCACCCTTCGGGTGATAAGGAGGTTGTGGGGGGGGGAGAGGCGGGGGGGACCAACATCTGACTCAATCGATCTCACTATCGATCTCACTCAGCGGGACACCACGGGGCATCACGGGCCACCACGGGGCACCGCGGGACACCTCTCGATCGTGAGGTCTCACTATCGATCTCACTATCGATTTCACTCAACGGGACACCATAGGACACCACGGGACACCACATCGACCTCACGATCAATCTCATTATCGATATCACTGTCCATTTCACTCAACGGGACACCACGGGAAACCACGGGACACCTGTTAATCTCACTATCGGTCTCACTACCGATCTCATTCAACGGGACACCACGGGACACCCATGGAAATTTCGGGGCACCACATCAATCTCAGTATCGATCTCACTATCGATCTCACCCAACGGGACACTACGGGACACCTGTCGATCTCACTATCGGTGTCATTTTTTGGGCACCACAGGACACCACGGGACACCTCGGGGCACCACATCGGTCTCAGTATCGATCTCACTATCGATCTCTCTACCGATCTCGTTCAACGGGACACCATAGGACACCACGGGACACCGCGGGACACCGCGACCCACCGCCGGACGGACGGATGGACGGGGGATAGTCATTTGTCTTGACTTCGCCCCAGCAAGGGCGGACACCACGGGACACCGCAAGCCACCGCCAGCCGGCCGGACGGACGGGGGATAATCATTCGTTTCGACTTCACCCTAGCATCGGCGGACACCACGGGACATCACGGGACACCGCGGGACACCGCAAGCCACCGCCGACTAGACGGACGGACGGGGGATAATCATTCGTTTCGACTTCGCCGTAGCAACGTGGGACACCACGGGACACCGCGGGACACCGCCAGCCACCGCCAGACGGACGGACGGACGGGGGATAACCATTTGTCTTGACTTCGCCGTAGTAGCGGCGGGGTCTTTTCTCTCGCGCGCCCACGCAGCTTCGCCTCGCCCGCACGCACAACATTAACGAAACGAAACGTTTCCCGGTTGGGGGTGTCCGTTCCACTTCGATCTCACCCCTCAACCTCCGATACATACATACCTATACGACCACCCTGAGGGTGATAAGGAGGTTGGGGGGAGGGGGGTCAGCAATGGGCAACAGATCGATCTCACTCGATCGATCTCACTATCGATCTCACTCGATCGATTTCACTGTCGATCTCACTCTGGATCTCGCTATCGATCCCACTAACGATCTCCCTATCGATATCACTCGATCTCACAATCGTTATCACTGTTCATATCATTATCGATTTCACTATCGATCTCACGATCGATCTCACTATCGGTCTCACTATCGATCGCACTATCGATCTCACAATCGATTTCGTCATCGGTCTCACTATCGTTTTCACCCGGGACACCCGGGACACTGCCCGGCCCAACTGGGACACCTCCCGGCCACCTGCGGACGGGAAACGGATTTGCGCTCCTACTGACACCCGGGACACCTTGGACACCGCCCGGCCCAAGTGGGCCACCTCCCAGCCACCGGCGGACGGGGAACGGACTTTCGCGCAGCTTCGCCTCGCCCGCACGCATGACACGAACACGAAACCGAAACCGATTTCCCGGTGGGGGGTCTCCGTGTCACTGCGATCTCAACCCCCAACCTCCGAAACGTACATATAGATATAGAGAGAGAGAGAGAGAGAGCGCGAGAGATTTGGGCCGATCGAGCGAGAGAGACACCATTCTCGATGCATAGAGACATAGAGAAACAGGAACATAGAGAAAGAGAGACACATACACACAGAAGAGACAGGTAAAGAGAGAAAGAGAGAAGGGAAGAGTTGGAGACGGAGAGAGAGAGAGAGAGAGAGGGAGAGCTGGAACTAGACCTGGAGCGAGCGAGCTGGCACGAGTCAGAGCGAGCGAGAGGGGGAGGGAGAGAACGATAGAGAGAAAGAGAGATAGAGAGAGAGAGAACGATTTAGAATATATTTGTTGCGAGAGGGATGAATAAAGAAACGCAGAACAACAACAACTGGACGGGGAGCAGCAGGGGGAGGGGAGGAAGGAGGAAGGAAGAGGGGCTTTTGATTTCGACGCTGATTGAGCAGTGAGCCTGTCAGCAGAGGCCGACACGCAACTCGCAGAATATCCGTGGGATAACACTGGTTCTGGGGCGCCAAGGTTGAAGGGAGGCAGGCAGGCAGCACCAGCTGGGCAGTCAAGCGACGTGCCTTGCAGCGCAGCCGACCGTCTGCAGAGGGCAGGACGGGATCGCCGCGGCTCTCGGGTGCTTGTCCACATGGGCAAGCAAAGACAGACGGGGGCAAAACGATGGGCAGGCAACAAACAGACTGGGGTAAAACAGCTGGCATGTCACATTGCGTATGGGAAGGAATCCTGCCGCGGCAATTTGCTGAGTACCTTAGGGGGCAAGTTATCTTCACCCTTGCCACGAGGCGAAACGAGATGGTGACGGACAAACGGCGGCTACCTGCATTCTAGGAGAAGCGGTAGAGGTGAGATACTTTGCAGTGCGAACGGTGCTGCGCCAATCCAGCTGGTCTGCAGCGCCGACGGCGAACGCCTGCTAACGAGCGGGCCAAAATTGGAAACCCCAACAATGAAACTCGCCTCGGGACCACTGCTGGTCAGGGCAAGGCAGGAGGCCAAAATGGTTGCGCCTGCCATAAGTTCCTGACTGAGCAACACAGGCTGGCATGGCGTACCTTGTATGGGCAAGCCATTTGTATCTGGCAGAGAGCTCGGCAGAGAGCAAGGAATGCAACAGCTCAAAGTCCTTCTGATCCACTCGCATGGGTCCCTTCCCTGCGGGCGGAAACAAGCTTGCAACGAGCACGAGTATAGTGAGACACCTTGCTGAGTGCCTGAGCGGGCCAGTTATCGCCACCCTTACCACGAAACGAAACGAGACGGCGGCGGACGAACGGCAGTTATCTGCATTCTAGAGGAAGCGACAGGATTGTATCACATTGCAGGAAGAACGGTGCGGCACCAATCTCCATTGGATTGCAGCGCCGACGGCGAACGCCTGCTGGTGTTCGGGCCAGGTGTGGGCTGAAAGCCAGGGCTGGGCGAGACGGCCTCGCGATCACTGCACGGGAGACACCAGGGCATGGCGGTGCAGAGGCCAAAATGGTTGCACCTACCACGAGCTCTTTGAGCACACCGAGGCAACGCATGCTGGCCTGTCGAATCGTGCCAGACAAACAAATAGCTTCGGCCATTCGATGAATACCTGAGTGGTAAGTTAGCTTGACCCTTCACACGGTACAAGACGAGGCGTCGAAAAAAAACAATGCCGGCTGTCTGCGAACTACACGGGGAAGAGAGCGAGATCAGAGAGGCAAGAAGTGGGCAGAGATACGTCCAATACCTGGCGGGGGGGGGGCAGCAACGAATAAAACACAGGACCTCGCACGTGTGGTGCGGTGTCGGGTGCACCTTTCGCCACGGCCGGGCTCACGTGGGCCCTTGCCAAGAGAGCAGCAGTGAGGCAGGCGGCAGGCTGGCAGCTGCTGATGAGTTGCTGAATCTGGCGGGGGCGGGCGCCCGGTATATCACAGAGAGGGCCTCGCACGTGTGGTGCGCCTTCGAGTGCACCATTGGCCCCAGCGGGGCTCACGTGGGCCAGGAAGAGAGCAGGAAGGAGGAGCCAGGGGGGAAGGTGATGAGGATGGCGGGGGGGGGGTTCGTAGTCCCCCACCCGCCCTTCTCCCTCCTGCCTCTTCAAGCCCCCCTCCCCCTCCCCTCGCACGCCCCCGCCCAGACCACCTTTACAATTACTCAATATGAAAATACTCCCCCTCTTCCCCTGATGGCGTCCGGGTGATGGCCGCGCACCCTCCGCGTACTGTTTTTTTACACACAGGATTCCCGGGAAATCCCGGGAAACGACTCTCGCTGAGGCGCCGGCGTCATTTTTTCCCAAAATGCTGCTCTCGTTGAGGCGCCGGCCTCATTTCTGCTCCCGAATCGTTCCGAATCGTGCTCCCGCTGCAGCGTGGGCCTCATTTTCGGATCGGTGTTTGGCCTCCGTCGTTCAGGATGGCGTTCTCGCCCCAGCGCGGGCCTTTTTCTCGCGCGCCCATCCGCCCGCCACCACCGCGCCGCACCGCACCACCACCACCACCACCACCACCACCACCACCACCACCACCACCACCACCACCACCACCACCACCACCACCACCACCACCACCACCACCACCACCACCAGCACCACCACCACCAGCACCACCACCACCACCACCACCACCACCACCACCACCACCACCACCACCACCACCACCACCACCACCACCACCACCACCACCACCACCACGACAACCACGCACACACGCACGCACGCACGCACGTGCACCACCACCCACTACGCACGCGCGCGCGGAGCCACAGGTCCGCTACGACACGCGTCCGCGGATAGAGAAAATCAGCGCCATGGTAAGGGATGGGAGGGAGGGGTAGGACGTCAGATATGACGCGAGCGCACCTATCTTGTCTCCTTCCCCCTCCCCTCCTTCCGCCTCCCCACTCCTCTCCCTCCCCTCCCTCGTGCTCGTGCCCCCCCCCCTCCTCCCCGCTGCCTCCCTCGCCCAAGGCCCTCGTGCCGCCGACCACGCTTCGCGACGACAAGGGCAGCCTGGTGCTGCCACCCGAGGTGGGAGGAAGAGAAGAAAAAAGAGGAGTCGCCAAGGTCGGGCTCGTTTTTGAGAGCCCTTTCTCCACCCTTTTTGGGTCTAGCTTGTGCTTACTCGTGCTAGAATTTGGTGCGGAACCTACGAAGCCTACGAGTCCCGACCTGTGTTGTATCTTTCGGCCTGTGGGGGGGGGGGCCGTCGCTGGGCCGTCAAACACTTGTTCTGGATGAGCAGCGTGCCCTGCAGGGGGAGGGGTCGGGACTTCCGGCAAGGGGCCCCGCTCGTATTGCACGATTGCGATACGTTGCTTGAAGGACGAGGTGGGCGAGGAGGTGAAGGAGGGGGGTGGGTGGGTGGGAGGAGGGGCAGGAGGTGGGGACGGAGGCTGTCGGGGACAATGAGTTCCTGCGCCGCAGGGGGCTAATGAGCCTGCCAAGCGAGTGGCCCAGCTAGCCCAGCTCCCCGGCGGCCTTGGCCGAGGCCGCCCGCAAGGACGATTCCGTTAAGGACTCTCCAGGACCTGTTTGTCATCCTGAGCAGTCCCGGGGATCCGTCGTTGTCCGTCATCATCCTCCATTCTTCTTCCCTTTCTTTAACCCGCACTGTCGCACCCCGAAACGTGTCGGCAGGGCGGGGCGGGCGTTTCGCCTCAGATTTCTTCACCACGTACGACCTTGAAGCTTGAAGCTTGAAACAGCTTCACGGATGGAGGGCGGGTCGTGTTCAACATGTGTTGCTCGCATTAGCGTTACGCAGATTCGTTTCAAAAGCTATTGCCACGCGGATGGAGGGCGAAGCGTTTTCAAAATGTGGCCCCCGAGTGGGCGCCTTTCACATTTCGTGTTACAAGTTTGCGAACGCTTCACGGAGAGAGGTATTGTCGTTTGCAAAATGTGGCTCTCGCTGTACCGCCGCGCATAGTCATGTTAAAAGTTTGCCAGAGCTTCGAGGATGGAGGGTGAGTGGTTTTCAAAATGCGGTTCCCGCCGTAGTACTGCGCGCATCCGTTGATTACGATGTGCCCGGGTTTCACGGATGGAGGGCGGTTCTTATCCAAAATGCACCGTTCGCCGTAGTGCCTCGTATCTTCGTTTCAACAAGTTGCAGCATGTTCGAAGAAGGTTGTTCTGGGACGATTGAGGATTGCCAAGACGCAACCGCAACGTCCATTCGAGATGCCGAGGTCCCACAATTGATGTTGTGGCACGTTGCGTGATTGTTATGGCGCAAGAAACCAATTAGTGCGAAGCGCTGAAGTCCCACGAGTGGTGTTGTAGTGCGATTAGAGTTTCTCAGATGGTCGTCTCCCACCATGGAGCGATTCCCGCAAGTAGAATACATTCTTGTTGGCACATCTAGAGGGAGCTTGGAGGGAGGATTGATTGCAACATCGTTGGTGCGTCTTGGGCTCACACTGGTCCTCCTCCTCCTCCGCCTTCTTCTTCTCCTCAATCCTCCATCCCGCGCGTTCGCGGGCTCGCGACGCAGGTCGCGACAAGAGTATGTGTGGGGTCGGGGTGGTATTCGGGTCCTGGGCGGCCGTTTGGGACGACCTTGGCACCCCAGGAGCGCTCCTGTCGAGGCGCTGCTGCCGGAAGGCACCATGAGGCTGGAAATTTAACGAGAATTATCGAACACGTCAGAAAACTTATGCGGATCGATGACCCTCTGGGCGTCTGTTAGATCAATATGTGTTCACCTTGTTCGGCCAACATTACACAGCCTGCGTCGTATTGCAGGACTTCGGTGGACAAGCACACGTCGGTGGTAGCATCCGTTCCGAGGATCATCTGGAGAAGGAGGTCTTGGGAGGAGGAGGCACCGGCAGTGTGCAGGAGGCACCAAGGAGGAGGATGAGGAGAGGAGCAGAAGGAGGCGGAGGAGGAGGAGGAGAAAACGGAGGCGGAGGGGGGGGAGGTCTGGGGAGAGGAAGGGGTGAAGGAGGAGAGGGGGGGAAGGAAAGGGAGGAGGAGGAGGAGGAAAGAGGAGGAGGAGGAGGAGGAGGAGGAGGAGGGAAGAGGAGGAGGACAGAAGCGGATGAGGACGAGGACCATTGCCCAAAATGCCAGCGCCACAGAGCCCATGAGTCGGGCCCAGATTGCCCAACGCACAGGGCCGAGACAGACTTCTCAACACCGACACCCTCAGCAGGGATCTGCTGCCCTCCGTCGACAAGAGAGAGAAACCAGCCAGCGAATCCGACGCCTGATCGAGGAGAAGCGCACCTGGCCGGCCCCAACCGGCGTCGCGATCACGATGTATCCATCGCTACTATCCGACACGGGGGCGATACGCGACGAGAATGAGGACGAGGCGCACGTCGGGTATGACAACCTGGACTGTACTGCGAGGAAGGCTGTCGACGCCTCCTAATGAGTCACACTAGTCAGGACCCGACGCCATCCCAACAGCTGGCAAGCAGCGACACCGCCAGCGAGGCAGAAGTGACGCCACCATGGACACCGTGGCCGCTTTTCTCTCAGGTCTACTACCTTTGGTGAGTCAGGAACTCCCCCCCGGCCACCTACAACCACCACACGGGGCTCACGCCTCAAGATGGTCCTAACGGCTGGGGGGAGGCCCTTTCTGCCATCCCACCCTGGCGAAAGTGGCCACTGTCCCCTGGCCACTGCCAACAGCCGCCTCTCACCAGCTTTGTCCCAAATGTCCTGCCTTCTATTCGCCGTTCTCACCGCCAACCTCAGCAGCGTTGCAGCTTGCTGCTGCCACTTTCGCATCGTCGCATCTCCATGTTGCCACCTTGCCTGGCGCCGCCACGCACTCTCAGCATGCAGCCGCGCGGCCACCACGGCAACCGGTTGTGGATCTGGGGCGGCGGGGGGGCGTCAACGCAGCAGTTTTCTTGCCCCCCACAGCCGCCGCAACCGCTGGCCGTTCAGCCTTGACCCTCGTCAGCCACCAAGCAGCGCGTCCCACTGGGCAGCCGCACGCGAACCCCACGGCGTCGCCTGCCTGCCGCCACTTAGCGGGGAAGGGCTGGGGATCCATTGGGGGGCGGTGAGTCACCTCAGACAACAGCGCCACCGCCACATGAGGGAGCAAACCTCCCTTCACCCGGGGGGGATCCCTTGGGTGGCTCCCAGTCGCACCTGTGTTTACCGCTTGCTTGCCTCGGCAGGTGAGGGTTCCACGGCAGCGTTTGAGGGCCGTCCCTCTTGGAATCCCCTTATGCCTCAGCGCCTCCCGACCGCTGGTGAGTGTGGCCTGGCCACTCCAGCTGCCGCCACCGCACTGGCCACGCCAGGAACTGCCACGCCAGCTACCGCCGCCGCCTGCCTTGCTTGCCGTCGCGCCACTAGTCCACTACTCCCCCACCCGTCATCAGATTCTTTCTTATTTTCATCTCTCCCTCCTACCGTTCGTTTCGCCTGCCTGTATGCTTTCACATACTGCTATCGTATACCTCACCAGCCAGTGACTCGAGGGGCGACCTCCCTTGGAGTCACTTGACTCACTCGTTTTATCGCCGCCCCAGTTCCGACCGGCCCTTGGAGGGGGGATGGCTAGGAGGAGGAGGAGGAGGAGGAGGAAACAGGAGGAGGAAGGAAGAGGCGGAGAGGGAGGAGGAGGAGGTGGAGGAGGAGGAGGAGGAGGAGGTGGAGGAGGAGGAGGAGGAGGCAAAGGAGGGAGAAGGAACAGGAGGAGGAGGAGGAGGAGGAGGAGGAGGAGGAGGCGCCCCCTCGAGGTGCGGGAGCGCCTGCAGTCCTGAAGGGGCGGCGGCCTCCGCGCGGCCCTGCAGGGCGCCCCACGGCACGGGAGACCCGCGCCGCCAGGAGCGGCCGTGGGCTCGCCACGGGGCGGCCCCCCAGACATCCAGCGTCTCGACAAGAAGTCGAGACGAAGGCTGTTCGTGGCTTTCGGCCTCTCGGGGCCCGTTGCCAGGCCTCGGGGCCATCAACACGCGACGCGGGATGAAGAACCGGTCTCTGGGAAGTGGTGGAACCGAGAGCGTCCCAATCGGACGATTTCGTTGTCCTCCTCCTCCTCCTCCTCCACTTCCTCCTCTTCTTCTTCCTCCTTTTCCTCCTCACTCTCCTGCTCTTCTTCCTCCTCCTCCTCCTCTCCTCCTCCTCCTCCTCCTCCTTTTCCTCCTCCTCCTCCTCCTCCTTTTCCTCCTCCTCCTCCTCCTCCTCCTCCTCCCCCTCCTCCACCTCCTCCTCCTCCTCGTCCTCCTCCTCCTCCCCCTCCCCTTTCTCCTCCTCCTTCTCCTCCTCCTCTTCCTCCTCCTTCCCTTTCTCCTCCTCCTCCTCCGGCTGCCGCGACCCCAGCACCCGTCCATTTATGGGACGGGTGTCCATTGGGGTCAGGCGTCAGGCGTGTGAGGATCGACCATGCAGTCTCGCGCTCCTTGCGGGGCCGAGCAGAAGGGACGCGGGGCACTCAAGAAAACGCATATCCAGGGGGGGGACATCCAGGAGGTTTTTTTTCTCAGCACCCGGACTGGGGCCGTCAGCCCGCCCGGTTGTTGGCGACAGGACACACTCCTCCTCCTCCTCCTCCTCCTCCTCCTCCTCCTCCTCCTCCTCCTCTTCCTCGTCCTGTTGCTCCTCCTCCTCCGTAGCCATTTTGGCTCAAGCCGTTCTGGCTCAGGCCGTTGTGGCGTTGAGCTTGCAAGCGCGTGTTTCAGAGTGATTTCACCATCGCCCCAGCTGTTGCAGCCAGCAGCGTGTGGGGCCACCGCCAGATGTCCTGCCAGGCACGAAATCCCCGTGTGGGGGTGCCCGCGATGCGGCTGCCGGGGCAACTGGGCCTCGCGTGTCACATGCAGGCCCTGCAGCGCCAATGTTCCGCCCAAGGTGGTCCTGGCAGCCCGCAAGACTGCAGCAGCCTTGGGCCCCAGCGGTGGCGTCCGCAATCCGCGAAGGGGGGGCGTGTGCGAATGGGCCTCCTCGCAGCGCTGGCGATTCGGCGCAGGCGAAGCTCATCAAGGATCTGCAACAGAAGGTGGCTTTGTTGGAGGGCAAACCGCCGTGGAAGATGTCCTCCCTGTCGATTTCCACGTGTGCGAAGGAACTGTCATTCTCGGACGCGCTGCAGTTCCTCAAGCGTGAAGGCCTGGACACGTGGAGTGTCGAGGAGACTGAGAAGGAAAAGGCAAACGTGGTTACGTTGCCGAAGGCCCCTTCGGCGAGGACACACAGGTGTAAGGTTGAGGACCTGCGGACCAATATCGGGAAGTTTGGGTCCAAGGTCGCTGCCCTCCGCCTCCAATGTTCCGAGCTGGACAAGGAGATCGAGGAGGTGGCTGACAGCACGCAGCCCTTCAAGTCTGAGCTGGGCGCAGCCGAACAGGCCCTGTTCCGCCTGCAGGCCGAGGAGAGCTCCGACCCCATCAAAGCCATCCCAGCGGCCCTCGACGACAGCGTGTCCCAGTCCTCCGGGGGCGTGGCGGCCCTTGCAGCATTGCAGCACCTGCGCGCCAAGGCAGTTGAAGCCAAGCGGGAGGTTCAGCGGCCCCCTGTTGATTCTGTTGGCGCCGCTGACGGTGACGCGACACAGCCAGGCGCAGGTGCTGCAGCAGGCAGTGACGGAGCAGCAGTCTTTGGTGAGCACCTCGCAGCACGAGATGACGACGTCGACATGGAGCTCTTGGGTGGAGATGGCTTCGAGGAGAAGCAGAAGGAGTTCCAGGAGGCTGCAGAGCGCCTTCGCACCGCATCGCCAGACCAACCCGAGGCCAAGAGGGAGTATATCGAGGCAGTTGCGGCCATGGGCTTGGAGCTATAAAGCAGCGCTCTGGTTAGCCTAGTACACGTTGCTCAGGGCTCGGCCAGCGCGGCGAACCGAGGCTTCTGGGACCGCAACGCGATCGACGTCGGGCGGTCGCTTGGCGTCGAGGCGCCCGCGCTGCAGGCTAGGCCCGCGCCGAGCTCGAGCGGGGCGGCGCCCCCGCCCGCGCGTAGGAGGCGCGGCGCTGGTGATGCTGAAGGGCTAGGTGCGCTGGGCGCGGCCGAGTGGCCCGCGCAGGGCGCAGCTGCGCAGGGCGGAGTCTCGAAGAGCAGGGGGGGGGGGGGCAGGGATTCAGCCCCTGGAAGTCACGCCCCCCCTGCCCGCGTGTGCATCGGGTCCCTGCGCGCCCCCCTCGACGGGCGCGGCTGCTGGTCCTGGGCCATCGCCGACGTCGGCCCAGATGGCGCCATCTGGAGCGGGGAGGCCCTCGCCGCGTGCGTCTGAGAGCTGCTTGGGAACGTTGTCCCTGGGGTGGCCACGAGTGCATCGGCGACGAGTGCGCCGTCGACGGCGGCAGTCCCCCCCCCCCAATGCGGTGAGGGAGATATCTCGGTCAAGATCCGACAGGTGTGGTGATGGCCCGACTGCTCGTAATCTTCTAGCGGAATCAGCCCACGTGCCACTGTTGTCTTGTCGTTTGCCGCTGAGGAGGCTCGAAAGCAACCCCGGGCCGCCGCTGTCAGATCGCTTGGGATTGCTGGGGTGAGCGTGAATTCGTGGAGCGCGTTCGAGGCGATCATTGAGTGGAGGGCAGACGAAGGGAGATCTGGCGGCGTTGCCCCTCTCACGAAGGTTCGTTGCATACAGGGGGCCAGGATCAAGAGCGATACCAGGTAGGTCTTCGCGATGAGCTCGGGAAAGCGGCACGACTACCTCCGGCAATTTGGACACGCGCACAGCGCAGGGCCTGGGGCATCGCAGCGCAGCTCGGGAGTTGCAGTTGCGGTCCGCACGGGCCTAGGGTCTGCGCCAACAGCGACCGTTGTTTTTGAGGACTGTGCGAGTCGAGTCGTTGCGCGAATCGTCAGCACATGCTACCCGAAGGGCAGAGTCGTTGTCCGCGCCCACTTTGCGACGGGCCAGGAGCTCGCGGGGCCCGACATGGCCTTGCTGCAGGCGGAATGTGCCTACCTGGTGGCCCATGCCCATGCCCCCCCCCCCCCCCCCCCCCCCCCCCCGAACTCGCCTACGCCTAGCCTACGCCTACGTTTTTCCAATGCCCCCCCCCCCCCCCCCCCCTCCCCCTCCTTCTTTGCATTGCCCCCCCCCCCCCTTTTTTCCAATGGCGCCCCCCCCCCTTATGCACGCTTGTTTGCTTGCTCGCTTGCTTGCTCGCTCGCTCGCTTGCTTGCGCGATTGCTTGCTTGCGCGCTTGCTTGCTTGCGTGACTGCTTGCTTGCTTGCTTGCCTGCTTGCGCGCTTGCTTGCGCGCTTGCTTGCTTGCTGAGTTGCGGAGATTCCTCTGGTTCCTTGATTTCAGTCGTCTGATCGACTTGGAGCCAACGCTGGCTGATATTGGTCCGTTGCCCCAACCCCCTAATGCCTACGCCCGCCCCCCCCAAAAAAAAAATCTTATGGCTAGGCCTATGCCGATGCCCCCCACTAACTCCCATGCCCATGCCTACGTCTGTGCTTATTAATCGCTTCGCTCATTCCGCCGGCCCACATTGTCGCACCGTTGTGGGCTAGCCGAGTTTTGGGGCCTCTTGGAGGCCGTTTTGGGGCCTCTTGGGGCCTCTTTTGGGCCTCTTGGGCGCCTCTTGGGGCGTCTTGGGGGCCTCTCGGGGGCCTCTTGGGGCCTTTTTGGGGCCTCCTGGGCGCCTTCTGGGGCGGAGGGCTCGATTTTTCAGTTTTCGGTTCCCCTCTTCAGCCCCTCTTGGGCCCGTCTTGGAGCCTCTTGGTCCGTCTTGGGCGGCGCTTGGGCCGTCTTGGGGGCCCTCCTGGGCCGTTCCGGGGCCGTCTTGGGAGCCTCGTGGGCCGTCTTGGAGCGGTCTTGGGGGCCTCTTGGGCCGTCTTGGAGCGTCCGGAAGCCGAAAAAGCCAGAACGCAAAAAACATAAAAAAACAATGAAAATCAACGATTTTGGCGTCTTGGGGCCCTCTTCGGAGGCCTCTTGGAAGGCCCTTGGGGCGTCTTGGAGGCCTCTTGGGCTGTCTTGGGGCCCTGTTGGGCGTCTTCGGGCGATCTTTGGCCGTCTCGGGGCCCTCTTGGACCGTCTTGGAGGCTTCTTGGGGACCTCTTGGCCCGTCCTGGGGCCCTGTAACAGAACTCCGGCATCTCTGGCCCGACCTTGCCGGGGACTTGCCGGGACCTTGCCGGGGTACTTTTCGTCCGGGGACCCCCAGGGGCCGCCCCGCGCGCGCGAACTAGAAATACTGTTAACCAGGCACCGGAGATCTTAGCACGCCCTGGCCAGTTGGGCCGGCGAATTTTCCAACTAGGCTTGCCCTGTAGGAGCCCTAGCCCATCACAGCGGCACCACCCGCCATTGCCAATGCCCCCCCCCCCCCCCCTCCTTTAGCAAATGCTGGCCCCGCCCCCCTTTCCCCCCTTATTTCCCATAGCGCCCCTTTGCTCTTTCGTGCTTGCTCTCGCTTGCTTGCTCCTGCTTGCCCTTGCTTGCTTACGCTTGATCGCTGGCTCTTGCTTGCTGTTTATTGCTCGGTTGCACTTGCATGCTTCCGCTTGCTTGCTTGCGCTTGCCTGGTTGCGCTTCTCCCGTCCTCCTCCCGCCCTGCTCCCGCCTCCCCATTCTCCCTTTGCCCATCCCCCTCTCGCCCCCCTCCTGTCCTTCCTATCGGTTTGGAGCCAACGCTGGCTGATGTCATATGGGGGTGCGGTCTCATCACCGACCCTAGCACGTGCTGCAGCGGTCGCGGAGTGCTCAGATGCCACGCCCTTTGTCAAGCTATTACTGCTACGACGTTCCCTCTTCACCCAGCAAGGGTGCCCCGACCTTTTGTCCCATCCGCGGCGCGGTGGATGATGTGGCGCTACAGGCTTGTGGGCGACCAGCGCAGTTTGCCCGGGCGCTGTCTGGCGCGGCGGGCCAGCTGTTCAGCAGATGCAGAGAGCTCGAGCTGCCAGTCAAGACCAAGAGAACAAAGTACAGGTGCTCGCGCGAGGCGCAGCAGCGCGCGACGGGGAAGCGGCGTCCCCCGCTGGCCTCTAGAGCCGAACATGCGCGCAACCCTGGCACCGATACGACGACGGGAGGCGCTAGGCGGGTCGGCACCAGCAGCGCGGGGTTCATCGAGGCGGGCACTCGTTCGAAGTGACTTCGACGTCCGAGGGGTGCGGGCGCAAGCGTGGCCCTTGCACGGCGCGTGGGGGCCACGGCCACGGCCCTTTCGGGCGGCAGCGCGTCTGTGATCTCGCCGACGGTCCCGCGCGGGCTTAGGCTGTCGGCGGCTCGCAGTGTAGGCCGCCACCCAAAAGGTGCCTCTCTCGGGATTCGGTTGCGTTCGTTTCGTCCGGGGGAGCGCGTGGACCCTTTTGTGGCCCATGTTGGCCATGTGGCCTCCCAGTGGGCCGCTGCTGGCTGGGGCAGTTTCCCCGAGGTTTCGACGTTGGGCTCTTCCATCAGCCATCGACGCAGCCATCGCCAGAGCGAAGTCAAAGAAGTATGCTTGGCGAGGTGCCTCGACTCCAGGTGATGTTTCGGCTCTGTCTCTCCAGCGCATAGGGTGGGGCTCCTTGGATTCTCGCTCGGTTGAGTCTGACCTTGGGCATGTCTGGAATCTCCCCCAGATTTCACCGACGGAGCTCAGGTTGCAAGCCAGAGAAGGTGATGTCCGCGCCTTGGATCGGCAGGCCCTTCAGGCCGATGCAGACCCGGCAGGGCGCCTCCTTGATTGGGGCGCCCTCAAGCTTCAACTCCCCGCTCCGCTCCTCCTCGTCCTCTCGGGGTCTCAAGCGCCAGTCGCGCACCGGAGGGCCCTGTGGAGCTTCGCGAGCACAGCCCACTGGCCGCAGGAGAGGGCGCACAAGCACGGCTTCCACTCGAGCTCCGCGCGCCGACGTTGTTCGGAGGGGGCGGGCGCTTTATTCCGCGGGCTGCGTCGGCGCGCGGCCCACGCGGGGCCCCGTCGGGGCGGAGTCTCGGAGGGGGCTTGCTCGCAGGGCCGCCCGAGTCCAGAGGGGGGAGTTGCGAGCTGGCCAAGAGATGAGCGCGCGCGATATTCCCAGCCCCCATGGCCTTTGCGCTTGCCCAGGAGCTTGAACAGACGGCGTTCTGGATCTATCGGCCTGCGTCGGGCCGCCTCTCAGGAGTGATTTTCTCGGGCGGCCCGGCCTCGTGGCCTGCAGCCCCTTGGCTCGTCGCGGGCTGGTCTGGGCCCTCGCCCAGGTCGATGCGGCAGGCAATGCGCAAGCTGCCTGCCACGGGCCCGTTCCCCCACGGGCCAAGGCAGTCGGCCAGGGATGGGCGGGGCAATGCGGTTATCATTGGATGCTTCTGCCGTGCGCCATGGCACCAATTCCTTTAATATTGCGACTGCCAAGGAGCCCTGGGCGCCCTCTGGGGGGGCCTCGGAGCGGGCCCTTCGGCGGCGGCTCCCAGGGCCACATCTGGGTGCCTTTTTGGTTCAGTGTTTCGCCCGGGGATGCCGCGGTTGAAGAAACGGCAGCTCGCTGCGCGATGTCTGATGTCCAGAGTGGCAAGACCACCCTATGGGAACAAAGCGAATGATTCGGCTGACTCAGATGCACAGATGAGCGCGGCCAAGCACCATCTCTGCAAGTCTGACGTGCACTTGTACAGCGTGTTCAAGTGTCTGGCCAAGGAGTCGGCCCGCCGGGCTGCTCAGTTGGAAGTGCATATCCAGTCGCAGTCCGAAAGGCGCCAGGACACGGTCGGCCAAGATCCTTCAGAGCCTGTTGCCCCAGAGGCCCTCGAGGTGCTTCCGCCTGAGCCTAGCCCCGAGCCCGTCGTCGAGGTTGGTGGGTGCGGGGTGGAGGCGGGCGGGGCGGAGAGTCCCGACTGGACCGATGTGGCCATGCGTGCGTTTTATTTGATCGGGCGCGCCATGGTGCGGCGTGAGATAGAACCCCCCACGCGTGCGGGTGTGCCCATCGTTTCTGTGTGAAGTGTGGTGCGTGCTGCGAGGACTACCGCCCTGGTGAGCTGCTCCGAGAACGTTGCAAAGGGCGACCACGTCCTGCGCAGGTCGAGCACCAACTCAAGATAACTCGGGATGACAAGCGCCCTCATGGGAGGGCCTCGTCCGGGCATCTCGCCCTCTCGGTCTCGCGTGGCTTGTCGGAGGCCGAACGAGACCGCGCGTCTGTTGCCTGCCTCCCCTCGCCCGCGTCCGCGGCGCCCGCAAGGGGGCCACGTGTGCGAGTTTCGCTCGGCTATGCATCCCGCGAGGATGTCCTCGCCGCCTTCGGCCTCGTCGACAGCAACCTGTACCAGGTTCGGGCGCTGGGAAAGGCCGCGCGAAAGCCACCCAAGGAGTTCGAGGATGAGGGGCCCTCCGATTATGATGGGATGTTTTTTTTTTGGAGCGTTCTCTCTGACTTTAGGTCGCTCCACAACAACTTCCCCCTCCTCCTCCTTCTCCTCCTCCTCCTCTTTTCCATCCTTCCTTCTCATCATCCCCCTCCTCCTCCTTCTCCTCCTCTTCGGGCTGCCGCGACCCCAGCGCCCGTCCATCTATGGGACGGGTGCCCACTGGGGTCAGGTCTGCGGATCGTCCATGCAGGTTCGCGCTCCCCACGGGGCCGAGCAGAAGAGCCGCGGGGCATTCCAACAAAAACATTTCCACAGGGGGTCCATGCGGGATGTTTTTCTCAGCACCCTGACGGGGGGCGACAGCCCGCCCGGGTGCTGGCGACAGGACGCTCCTCCTCCTCCTCCTCCTCCTGCTCCTCCTCCTCCTCCTTTTCCTCCTCATCATCGTCATCATCATCATCATCTTCATCATCATCGTCATCATCATCATCATCATCAGCAGCATCATCATCATCATCATCATCATCATCATCGCCGTCATCATCATCATCATCATCGTCCTCGTCCCCCTCCGCCTCCTCCTCCTCCTTCCCCTCCTCCTCCTCCTCTTCCTCCTCCTCCTCTTCCTCATTATCCTCCTCCTCCTCTTCCTCCTCTTCCTCCTCCTCCTCCTCCTCTTTCTCCTCCTCCTCTTCCTCTTTCGCATCCTCCTCCTCCTCCTCCTCCTCCTCCTCCTCCTCCTCCTCCTCCTCCTCCTCCTCCTCCTCCTCCTCCTCCTCCTCCTCCTCCTCCTCCTCCTCCTCCTCCTCCTCCACCCCCCCGCTTGCCATTGCTCCCCGCACGGCGCCGGAGCGGCCGCCCAGAGAGCCGCCGGTGCCCGAGGGCCCAGGCCCTCATGGCGTCGCGGGCACGTCGCGAACGAGGGGCGTTCACGACGTAACTCGTAGAGCTTCCCTTAGCAAGTTATTGCTGGAAGCTTTAGAGTAATTCCGGGGCGTTGGAGAGCTTGTTGGCAAGAAAAATCTCGACGGACCTTTTGGTGACTTTTGGTCGGTTGAAAATTTTGTTCTCGAAATTCAACAAGTCGTTTGAGCTCTAGTATTTTTTCCCATGATATTCGATCTTATTCCCGCTCGCCATCTTGATCTCACCTCGATCGGGTATCTTTTACTGCCAAAAAAACACGGGCGGGATCGGCCGTTCCAAGTCATCTTGACACAAGATGACGGTTTTCTGAACATAACTCGAGCTTTAGGACAGCTACAGAGCTGGTGAGCACAGCTAATCGATTCAGAATGATCAGGCGCGTTCGCCTGTTGAATCCAGAGGTCTGAACTCGGTCTGCTAGCCGAGCTAGGTCCGCAAACCTATTCGTATTATTGCAGTCATCTTGACAGACGCTCTCGATTTTCTGTACTTCACTCGAGCTACAGGACAGCTACAGAGCTGATAGGACAGAAACCGATTCATAATCATCCGTGGCAGTTGTCTGTTGAATCCGGAGCTCTGAACTCGGTCTGCTGCCCGATCTAGAATCGCGAAACCATTGGTATTGTTCGAGTCATCTTGAGAAGTGCTCTCGGTCTTCTGCACTCAACTCGGGCTGAGGGGGGCTACAGTGCTGGTGGTCACAAGAATCGATTTGAAGACATCAGGCGCGTCCGTCTGTCGAATCCAGAGCTCGGAACTCGGTCTGCTGCCCGAGCTAGAATCGCGAAACTATTGTATGTCATCCTGAGAGGTGCTGTCGGTTTTCTGTACTTAACTGGGGCTGTAGGGGGGGGGCTACAGTGCTGGTAGTCACAGGAATCGATTCGCAGACATCAGATGCGTCCGCCTGTCGCATTCAGAGGTCTGAACTCGGTTTGATACTCGAGCTGGGTTTCCAACCTATTCGTTTTGTAGAGTCATCTTGTGAGGTGCTGTCGATTTACGCACGTAACTCCAGGAGAGCTACAGAGCTCGTAAACAAGAAAATCCAAAAGCACTGGGGGCGTTCAGCTGTTGGATCGAGAGGTCTGAAATCGCTCGGGCTGAAAAACGATTCGTTCTCTGCATTTTTTCCACATTATATATTGTCAGGAAGCTCTACGAGTCCCCCGGCGGTAAGAAAGGTTGACGGTTTACCGCCGGCGCCCAGTTTGGCCTCCCAGGGCCTTCGCGGGGGCCCCGTGGCCGTCAGAACACGACTCGGGGTCAAACACCGAGGAGAACAAAATACCCACACCGCTACGGTTGCCCCGTATTCTCATTTTGGGGCATCTCGGCAGGCCCTCGTCGCCACCGCTGGATTCGTTTTGAATTTTGGTTAGAACGCACTTCAGGAGAGGTCTTGGAAGTAACGGTATCTGTGCCTTGTGGTTCCCCCTGTCAGAAAAAAAGTCACGGGGTCAGGGGTTTGGGGGGGGGGGGGTAGCAGGAGGAGGAAGAGAGGGAACAGGAGGAACAGGAAAAGGAGGAATAGCGTTTCCCTGCCATCGCCGCAGTCTACTCACCCGCCCTGGCGGGCTTCTCCGTTTTTCTGGGTGTCTCTCCGCACTTCCAGTCCCGCTCAGTCTGCACTTAGCTAGGCAGACAGGCAGTGTACCTCGGGCAGGGTTTAGGCCAGCGCTGAATGCCCTCGAACACCTGGCCGCACAAATGTGTGGGTCCTGCTGGAGCGTTTGCAGAACAGCTGGCCGAGATTGGAAAAGGTGGCACTTGTATTGAAGTTCGGGCGGAAGGAGGAGGATTCTCGATCTCTCGGGCAAGATTAGGCGCATTCTTTCCGCATGATGAAGAGGTCGCCACAAAACGCTCGTCTTGCGGGGCTGTCGAAACAGACGATGGGAAGGAGGATCAAAAGGACGGGGAGGATCTTTCGGTGTCGTCGTCGATTCCAAAGGCGTTTCCAGTCGCAAGGTGCTTTCCAGCAGCTGCCCCTCGGTGAGAGTATCCCGTTGGTGCCAGAATCGTCCCGAACGGCCGCCGGAGGCCCGAACTATGGCCCGAGAACAGCCGTTCCTTCCAGATTTCCAACGTCTTGAACAATCGCAGCGGAGGTTTATCCCTGCTCTCTACACTCGGGGGCCTTCGCCTGACCCTGGGACATCCTGAAAACGACCGCCGAATGAAAAATTGGCCCCGGGAAAGGTGTCTGGACTTCTGGCGGCACCGTGTTCACAAAGTGTGAATATCGGATCTTTGGACAGGAGGGGAGGAGGACCCCGACTTTCCAGAGTGTTTACAACAGAGTTGCCTGTCAAGACTTACTCATCGAGACAGGGTAGCTTTCGCTCTCGACTTCCCGTTTAAATCGCAAGTCATGGTGGTGTCCGTCCTTCTCTGCTTCGCCGGGAGGCGAGCGAAGGCGGAGGAGGAAGGGGAGGGGGGCCGCCGGGCGGACCCCTCCCAAGGGGAAGGGGGCGGGTGCCTCCCGCAAGGCGTCGGGCGCCTGACCCTTGGTGCGGGCAGACTGGGGGCCCCCGAGCACTGGCTTTCCTGCTTGGATTTGGCCCCCGCTCGCCGAAAGCCGCGCACCAAACATTGGGATCCGACGACGCAGAAAACGCAACGTCGTGGGAAATCTCCACCAGAGCCTTTGACCCCACCTCTCTGCGGCATCTCTCGGGCTGGATCGACCTATGAGGGCCCCCGGGCCCGAATCCATGCGAACACGCCCGGTGTTGGAACACATGCAGCGCCCCGTGATCAGGGACCAGCAACATGAAGGGATCGATTCGGTTCGGTTCGGTCTGGTTCTGCAGCCAGTTCGGTGTTGCTCGGCCGGTTCGGTTTGACACCGGTTCGTTTTCGGCCCGTTCGGTTTGGGTCTGGCTCCAGTTCGGTTCGGCACCACTTGCTCGGTCCCACCGGTTCTGTTCGGTCCCACCCTCGGTTCGGCCCCACCAGTTCGGTTCGGTTCGATTGACTGTTCGGTTCGATTCGGTCCGACCGGCTTGGTTCGGTGTGATTAGCGACGGTGGGCGCCCCGTCTGCGTAAGCGACGGCCCACGTTCAACAAAAAAGAGGAGGAGGACGACGACACAGAAGAGGAATAATAATAAAAATAAGAATAATAATGATGATAAGAAGAAGAAGAATAAGAAGAAGAAGAAGAAGAGGAAGACGAAGAGAAAGAGGAGGGGCAGAAGCAAGGAGGAAGGAACGAGGAGCAGGGCCGCGGCCCTGCAAGGTTCGGCCTCTGGGGGTTCGGGTTTTGATTGTTGACGCTTTGGGATTTCCTGGTCACGTTTAGATCCTCTTCGAATGGTTGCCCCCGCCTCCCTTTCATGAGAGAGCCGCAGCCGCCGCCGACGACGACGACGGGGGGGGTCCCCAAGGGCGCCCCGACGGGCCCGCGGGAGCGGGCGCGACGGGGGGGTGGCCAGTGGACTGCTGGTGGGGTGGCTTCCGCGGGAAACCGGGCACCGGGGCGGCGGCCCCCTGCCCTCGCGTGGGGGGGCCGCCCCAGGGGCCCGCCCTCCCCTATACCCCCCCTCCCTTCCGCCGCCTATCGAAGGGAGGTCGCGACGGGGCCAGTACCAGACGGGCACGTCGCGACGAGGGGGGGTCGCGACGGAGCCGGTCGCGACGGAAAGGGGGGGTCGCGACGGGGCCGGTCGCGACGGGACCGCTCGCGACGGGAGGGAACCCGACGGGGGGGGTCGCGACGGGGCTGGTCGCGACGCGCGACGGGGCCAGACGCGACGGGGCCAGACGCGACGGGGCCGGTGGCGACGGGGCCAATCGCGACGGGGGGGTGTCGCGACGGGGCCAGTCGCGACGGGACCGGTCGCGACGGGGGGGGAGTCGCGACGGGGGGGTCGCGACTAGGAGGGTCGCGACAAGGCCAGTCGCGACGGAGCTGGTCGCGACGGGGGCCCGCGACGACGGGGGGTCGCGACGGGCTGGTCGCGACGGGGCCAGTCTCGATAGGGGGTTCGCGACGGGGGTCGCGACGGGGGGGGTCGCGACGGGGCCGGTCGCGATGGGGCTGGTCGCGACGGGGCCGGTCGCGACGGGGCCGGTCGCGAAGTGCCCGTTGCGACGGGGCCGGTCGCGACAGGGAGGGTCGCGACGTCGCAACGGGGCCGGTCGCGACGGGGCCAGTCGCGACAGGGCCGGTCGCGACGGGCCGGTCGCGACGGGAGGGGTCGCGACAGGGCCAGTCGCGACGGGGCTGGTCGCGACGGGGCCGGTGGCGACGGGGCCGGTCGCGACGGGGCTGGTCGCGACGGGGCCCGTCGCGGGGGGGTCGCGACGGGGTCGCGACGGGGGGGTCGCAACGGGGGACGGGTCGCCACGGTGCTGGTCGCGACGGGGGGGTGGCCAGTGGGTTGCTGGTGGGGTGGTTCCCGAAGGAACCCGGGCACCCTGGCGGCCGCTCCCTGCCCTCGCGCGGGGGGGGCGGCCCAAGGGGCCCGCTCTCCCGCGGTCCGCCGCGGACGATCTTCCCCGACCTGCACCGACCCGCCTTGACCCGACCTGCCCCGCCCCGACCCGCCCCGACCTGCCCCGACCTGCCTCGACCTGCTCCGACGTCTTCATATTCGTCATGTTCATCTTCGTCACCGCTTGCACGTGTATTGGCTCAGGCTTTGGCACTGGGTGCCTCAAACCTCGTCGTCTTTCAGGGTGGTTGGGATACGGGGGGTCGTCGGCCTGCGGTCCTGTGTGGGCTGGATTGGGACGTCCGGTTCGGTTCACGTCGGTTCGGTGCGGAGGGCCACCCTGTTCCGCATCGGTTCCGGTTTTGGTTCGGTTCGGTTCCCCTCGGTTCGGTTCTGAGCGAATTCGGTTTGGTCCGGTTCGGTTTTAAATGTTTTTTGTTTTGTTCCGGGTCGGCTCAGTTCGGTCACGTTTATCGGTTCTCGTTTCGGTTTGCACCTTTTATGCAGAAAAGGTCATTCACGCCTATCGGATCTCTTTCGCGTGCAACCGAAACCGACGATGTGATTTTCCCGACCCGCGGCCCCAGTGTTCCCGACCCCTTCAGCTGGGGGAAGCTTTGTCGTTCCAACGATGATGATGCTGATGATGATGAGTATGATGATGATGATGATGATGATGATGATGATGATGATGATGATGATGATGATGATGATGATGATGATGATAATGATGAATAAGCTGATGATGTTGATGATGATGCTGCTGATGATGATCATACTGATGGTCATGAGGATGATGACGATGCTGATGATGACGATGACGATTATGATGATGCGGATGGTGATGGTGGTGATGATGCTGCTGATGGGGATGATGATGGTGGGGAAGATTATGTTGATGATAATGATGATGCTACGAATGGTAATTACGATGATGATAACGACGATGATGATGCTGATGATGATGACGATGACGATGATGATGATGATGATGATGATGATGATGATGATGACGATGCCGATGACGATGACGATGATGATGATGATGATGATGATGATGATGGTGATGATGATGATGATGATGATGATGATAATGATGATGATAATGATGATGATGGTGATGGTGATGGTGATGAAGCTGATGAAGCTGATGAAGCTGATGAAGCTGATGAAGCTGATGAAGCTGATGAAGCTGATGATGAGGAGGAAGAGGAGGAGGAGGAGCAGGAGGAGGAGGAGGGGGAGGAGGAGGAGCAGGTGGAGGAGGACGACGACGACAACGACAACAACAACGACGACGACAAAACAACGGCGGCGGCAGCGGTGGCGACACGGCGACCGCATCTGGGCAGGGCGACTTCTGGCTGCGCTTCCACCTGCCGCGCCCCCGGTCGCGCGTCACGGCGCCGGGAAGCCCCGGGAGGAGGAGGGGGGAATGCCTCAACGAAGGCTTTACGACATCCTCCAGATGACCGGCGGGGGGCGAGGGGGTGAAGTGAGAAGGAGAAGGCCTTCTAAGAAGGCTGCGGACCTTATGAGAAGCCCTCGCGCCTTCTGAGAAGTCTTCGGTGTCCTCCAGGAAGGCTTGGGGGACTTCCGAGCCTTCCGAGAAGGCCCGCCGTTTCTCATTCCCCCTGGGATCGCCGCTGAAGATGAAGGCGCGGGCTCTGCTCACTCAGGCGGGAGCAGGAGGAGGCGAAAAGGGGGCTGAGGAGGATGAGGAGGAGGACGAGGAGCAGAAGGACGAGGAGAAGGAGGAGGAGGAGGAGGAGAAGCAGGGGGGAGGGGTGTGGGACGAGGAGGGGACGAAGGTGAGACGGGGGAGGGAGGATGATAATATCATAAGGGGAAGAATAATGATGGTGATGGTCATTGTGATGGCAATGACGATGGTGATGGTGATGGTGGTGATGATGATGGTGATACTTATGACGAGTTTGATGACGACAATGACGATGACGATGACGATGCTGCTGATGATGATGATGACGACGATGACGATGACGATGACCACGATGATGGTCATGATGATGCTGATGGTGATGCTGATGATGATGATGATGATGTTGATGACGATGATGATGACGATGACGATGACGATGACGATGACGATGATGATGATGATGATGATGATGATGATGATGATGATGATGATGATGATGATGCTTTTGATGTTGATGCTGATGCTGATGCTGATGCCGATGAGGAGGAAGAGGATGAGGATGAAGAGGAGGAGGAGGAGGTGGAGGAGGAGGAGAAGGGGACATCGCGGCTCCTGCCAGGCACCCGTGGCACACATTTGGTAGATCACACTACACGCC